CCCCTTGGCCAGGGATTGAACTCATGCTGCAGTGGCTGCAGTCAGCTTCATAGTACTGCACTTTCACCCCTTGCACCACCAGGAAGGGCCCAAGGTTCTACATCTTGAGAAATCCCTCATCCTATTAAAACACATCCCCCAATACCCTATGTCATGTTCAATGTTCAGATGGAAGAGGCCCTGAAAGCTGAACATTACATTTGATGCTGCCCCCTACTGGCTGATTATAACATCACCTCAAATACCAGTTTGAGAGTTCACCATAAAAGCAAAAAACAGATGCTTAGAAGTAGGATTGGAATATTCTAACCATTTATATTTAAATTTGTGACTGTTGACCCCACTATGTTTTAGTATTTATTGGTATTTGCTGGCAGATATTTTGTAGGGTTATGGGAGAAATAGTGTAGGTAGCTCATGGTGTTTCACACTACACGAACGGCAATGTTCCCTTGGACTAGCCTCTGAGCTTGGACTCTTCCCTGGAAAAGTGACTTCATTTTTTGGAGTCTGCTTCCTTATTTTTATTGAGTAGTACGATTTTCCTTAGATGAAGAAGTCTGTCTGTGGGGCCCTGGGATGGACACAAGACTCAAAGATGGAGCCTTAATACTGGCATTGAAGCAGATGGCAAGACTCCGGACAGCCCCCTGCTGGGCTGGCCCCATAAGGACACCAGTCGGGGTCCAGCTCAGCTCAGAGGCCAGGAACACTGAGGACCAGGAACACTTGACCTGTGACACTGAGGGTCAGCTGGCTCCTCTTCAGCAGAGACACTTTTTTACTCATCTGAACTGACCAGTGGGCAGACACTATACAGGGTACAGTCCCGACACTGGGGAAGCGGCTTGAGCAATGGAGCTAACTCCAGTGCTGGCCACCATCAAAGCCTGCAGTGTAAACCTCAGCGTTTCTGCTTTCTACTTGTGGTTGTATTGAACACATGAGGGTATGCTCACCTTCATCTGAGCTGCTAAATCTGTTCAGAAGGCTTCAAAGGAAAGGAAGCACACATCCTCACTTCTGCTTCAGCCTTTTTGAGTTCACTAAAAGGAATCACTCACATCTTTTAAGTACAATTCTTCTACAGCCATGAAAACCCTCAAACAGGCTCAACAGCAACATTATATTAAGTTCTTAAATTCTGTTCGTAAGTGTAACTAGAGACAGAGTACTCCACTGAGATCAATAACCACCTCCAGCTTCACTGAAAAAGAGTTCGGTGTCCAGTTGAACTAGAAAAGCAACACGTGCCATTGTTGGCTTCTGCTTTTTTCTGTGTACCTCGAAAGCTTTGTAGTCCTATTTTAGTAGCTTAGTTTTAAGGTTCAACTTCATTAAATTTTAATGACATAGGAAATGTCTCATCGATATAAAATATTATGCAGTGGCTATAAAAAGAGCCAGCTTTCCCCCCTCTTTCTCACTGTGGAACTATCTCAAGACGTATAGTTAAGGGGAGCAGGACAATGAGAAATACTTCAAGACACAGCTTAAAGAAAATGTGAAAAGAAATGAATGAAAAAATTCATATATAGTGACTTGCTTCTCTTAAGATATATGTATATACATATATATATATACACACACATATATATACACATCCACACATATATATATATACACATATACATATGTATGTATATGTATATGTGTATATATGTATATATGATCCATTTCTATTAAAAATTGGTGATGGGAGGCCCATGGGGATTACAACTAGATGGAAAAATGCACAAAATGAAGAATGATGTAAAAAAAAAAAAACTAACATTATTTCTGTATCTGCTGGAAAATTTCTGAAAGAATAGCAACCAGTGTTACAGGTTCTCACTGGAGGTGGACTGAGAAGAGAACTTCACTTTTGAGGTTGTTTTCAGTATAGCTTGATTGTGTTCCAGGAGTGTGCATTTACTCATTTTAATAATAAACCCAAACAAGTAAATATATACATACCCACATTTGTCATGAACTAAGTCATTACACCATTGCCCAGAAACCAAGAACTAATCCACCAACTTAGTTCAGTGCTCACCGTTTAATGGAATGAAATATCTCAGAACTCGATTTTGATGAGGTTATTTTAATGCTGTCCATACCCAATGTCTTGGGAGGCAAAACTTATCTATACTTTCAATGTTGGCTCTTATCTAAAATAGCTACAACACATACTGTTGAACTGATTAAAATCAAATGATTCACTATTCTCTTTGTGATGTCAAGCTGTGCTCAGCATTTCTGAGTCAGATATATTGTGAATGGGTATAAAAGAAAACTGATTAGGCTTAAGTACTCCAGAGACAACACATGACTTCTGGCAATTGAATAAACATTTAAGATAAACTGAAACTGGTTCTCACTTGAAAAGAAGGAGAGTGACTTATAGGTACAAACCACTAGTTGTGTGCGCAAGTATTCTTCAAAAATTTATTAACAGAAATAGATATACTCAAATGTATCACTGAAGAAAAACAGAAAAAGGTCAACAACACTGAAGATATCGCTTGCACTTGACATTTCAGCACAGAGAACTAGCACCATTAATTCAGAAATCACATATTTCATTGTAATTGCTTCTAATATATAAAATAGCTTAGAAAGATTACTTAGTGCTCTAGTAACAAAGTTCTTCGAAAACTGATTTAAAAATCAATTCGAATTTACTATTTGAAATGGATGAAAATGGTTTAAAAATCGATCTAATTCTACGGCTTGTCAAGAGTAGGAGCCATAATTCGTTTAATTGGAAGAAAGTGCGTGAATTCAGCTTCTGGCTCCCTTCTAACACCAAAAAGGTACAGTAAACTGAATACTACATAGGAAAAAGAGCACATCTAAAACTGGTCTTAGAAAATACTCTCCTAGACTATAAAAATACTAAGTAGAATACAAAAATTTTAGCATATACGGCAAATAGACTACATCAAATATTTAAAACTATCTTATACCACAATCATCATGAACATCAAGTATTATTTTAATGAATTTTTATGATTCATTCTGATTCAATGGTTATTTCCCCTTAAGATTTCTTATAATTTCAAATACAGAGCCCAAATCCTGTGTTTCTACAGAAGTTACTGGAGGCACCACTGAATAATTCTTGGTTTTCGCCCGGTTCTCAAGGTGAGGAAAGTGCAAACGGTAGGAGAGCCTATTTTTCAGACCAGGGGTCAGTCAAGGACAGCCCTGGGGCTGAGCCTGGCCGGGTTCACTCATTGTGTCCGAGGCCCAGGAAGGCAGCTAGCTGGGTTGTCTCCGGCTGCTTTCACTTTCAAAGAGCTGAGCTGAATAGTTGTGACAGAGACTGTATGTGACTGTTGGGTCTGCAAAGTCTAAAATATCTACCATCTGGCTCTTTACAGAAAGTTTGCCAACTCTTGCTTTAGCTAAGTCAATTCAGGAAATTTTGCACTGAAGGAGGATATAGTATGACTGCCCCAGATTATGAACATTTTGGCTGAGGCTTGCTGGTCCCGGCATATAGAACGGCAGCAGTTCAAAAGAAGTGGATTGAATTTGGATTGGCAACTTTGAGAGCAGAAATATTATTCTAGCATTGTAAGAAAAGCCTGACCACACCAAAGTACCTTCCTTTCTCTGTGAAGTGGCCATTATGTACCAACCAACTCATGTACCTAATTATAGCAACATACTTACTGTTCAATCCAAACCTTCTCCTTGGCTCCCAATCATGATTTCTAGCCTTTAAAAACCAGTCATCTTGTACCCTTAGCAACACACAGAACCAGAAACAGACAGCACTGGGCATGGATTCTCTAAGCGCTGTGTGTGTGCCTTTCAGAACCCTTCCCTGTGACATGCATCAAAGTAACTAGCACTGCCACTCCCCAGGGCCACAAACATGTCCCTTCTGACAAAGTGGACTAAGTTTTCCAGTGGGCACATGGGCTTGGAAGAATGTTTGTGGTGGTCCTGGCAAAAAGAGGTGCGAAATGTAACATCAACGCCATTATAAAGAATTCGGACAGAATATTCGCTGGGCTTTTCTCTGTCTTGCCAGAGCTCAAAGATCAACCTGGCAGCAAACCTTGGAAACCTGGCTTCTGTGAGACCCAAGGCACTGAGAACTGGAGACAGAGTGACATCGTGAGCAGAGTAGAGGGCGAACAGCTCCTCTCGCCTGCCCTCCGCGGCATGCAGCATCCGGCTGATGGTTTGATTTAGGATGGGGTGGGCTCCCAGGAGCGCATACCCGAGGTACAGTTTCTTCTCCTGCCTGTCTCTCTCGTCCTCTATCTGATGCGTCTTTATCACCTTGAAGTGCTCCATGTCGATGCAGCCATTTCTGGTGCAGGGGAAGCTGACGTTGTGGCAGAAATGGCAGAGCATGGAGTCTATGGGGTTGGCGGCTCGGAGCTGCTTGGTGGGGACGTCCACGATCTTGGCCATGTCCCCATAGGTCCTCTCCAGCTGGCTGTTTCTCAAACGTAAGAGGTACTGGCGCCGCTGGTCCTTTTCCAGATACTGGTTTCTCACTGGGCAGTAGCAGTTTCCAGAGCAGAACAGAGCACTGGGCTGGTGCCTGAAATAGATCTTCTTCCAGTCAAAATCCGGGAGAAAGCCATAAAGCAAGGCCAGCCCACTTTGCAGCGTCCGGCTTTTCCCGGTGGTCTCTAAGTAAAGCTGCTCTGCAGACCAATCGTGGGGCAGGAGTTTGTGTTTCTTTAGGTAAATGTCCCTCAGGAGCTGGCCATTCTGCAGATGCTGCACGATCCCTGAAACACAGAGGACAGCAGCTTCCCTTATGACCAGCTCGGCAGTAGTGACAGTAAACAGAGTCGAGTTGGCGTCTGACTCTGGATTGCTTTTGGTCAGTGTTAAGTTAACATCATGGAGCCCACTTTCCTGTCTTATGGAAGCTTCATGAATGGGTCTACTTGCAAAGAGACCCTGGGGGTTTCCCATGAAGGGATGAATCGAGTGAGGACTGTGCTTGGACTGTGGCCTTTGTGGGGAGTACAAGCGCTGTCTGCCATCATCCTTCCATCTGGACCTTCCTGCCTTCTCTGAGAGAGGTCTTATGACTGGCAGACTCAGCAAGTTGGACTCACCCTACTGGTGGATATGTAGGCTGTAATGGCGTGGAACTAAGGAGAATCTCTTCCTCTGTCCCAAGACCATGGCTCTCTCATGTGAGAGAGAGCTCAGGGCACTCAGCTTGTGAAGAGAAATGCTGCTGACTGGTTGCTTAGTCTCTGCCTTGCTGGGAAGTCCCTCCTTCATCCCCCTTCTCCCTAGCCAGCCCAGCAAAGGCCATTTCTGCTAACAAAGAAGGCCTCTGCTAACCTTCCAGATACCTTCTACTAATCCTGCTCGGGCTTGACAGCTCGTCAGCAAGGATACTCTTTATAGATACAGGATGATCCCTTGATACCATCTTGAAAAAAGGCAAAGTGCAGAGCAGTATGCTTATTATGCTCCTTTTACATAAAAATGAAGGAAAAACAAAAACATGTATTTACAGTTGCCTCTCTTGCATAAAAAAATTTGGAAGAATACATAGGAAAACAATGGCTACCCAGGGTGAGGGCAGGATGAATGGGGCACAGAAACTGGCTGGCTGAGCTGTGGGTAAGAGTGAGAAATTTTTTTAAAAATATTTATTTATTTATTTATTTATACAGAACTAGGGTACAGGCCAGAGGTGCGAGAGTATTTACCAGAGACTGACCGGGGAGCAGAACAGGCAGAACAACAAAGTACACTGCTGAGGGAGCAGCCGACGGGTCAGGAGAGGTCTGCCGTGCCATGTGGGTCACCTCTGGGGCGAGGTGATCGAACACACACCGAAGTGGCTGAGGCCAGCTTGCAGTGCTGTGTCCTAACTGGTTGCACCACAGTGATGGCCTGAGAGTAAGAATTTTAAGTCTATTTTAAAAGTTGTTTTAGGCCCTTCCTGTTGGCGCAGCAGGTTAAAGCACAGCACTAAGAAGCTAAAGGCACTTCTGCATGAATTCCATCCCCACCCTGGAGGTGATCCACATGGTGCAGCAGACCTCTCCTGACCCGCCCATTGCTCCCCTCAGCAGTGTACTTTGTCAGTCTGCCTGTTCTGCTCCCCACTCTGTTATTGGTGAATCCTCTCACCGCCCCTGCACCTCTGGCCTGTTCCCCAGTTCTGTATGAATAAATAAATCTTTTATTAAAAAAAAAGATGTTTTAGTTATCAATGATCATATTATTAAGTTATCTTAGCAAAAATGAAAAAGTCTTATGCTCAAGCAGGAGCAGGCAGGTCAAGATAAAAACGAGCTTACCCGCCAGCAGATGGATACAAGGGGTGCAGTTTCAACGGCATGGAAGAACTCTCTGAGATCGTATACTACATGCAGGTCAATTACTCGATGTCCAAATGGTTTGAAAAGCTCAACCATGGGTGGTGAGAGGATTCACCAGAGAAGAGTGGGGAGCAGAACTGGCAGATTGACTTAAGTGCACTGCTGAGGGGAGCAGGGGAGCAGCAGGTGGGACAGGAGAGGTCTGTTGCGCCACGTGGGTCACTTCCCTAGCTGGGGATGGAACTCGTGCTGTAGTGGCTGTGGACAGCTTCATAGTGCTGCACATTACCCCTCACCTCCAGCTCTTGTATACATAAATAAATATTTTTTTAAAAGGAAAGAAAAGCTCAACCACAAGGATAAGACAATCAGGCTGAAATGCAGGAGACAAGGAACTGTGTTGGCCAGGGAGTTCACACAAACAGCTAAACCCAACAAAACCAAACCCACAAAGGATGTGCAAGTCATGGTCTGAATGGAGGGCCTTGAGAGAAGTCCCTCAAGATCTGGGCAGGAAAAGTCTAGCATTTGCAAAATGACTTGCACAATGAGACACCCCATAAGTGATGAACCTATGGAATCTCCGTCCTGCCACAGCTGACCTGGAGCAAACCTTCCATTCTTTGGCTACAGATCTTACAGTCGAAAGCTTGCCACATGCTAAACTTGTCTCGTTTAAACTTCACAAAAGTTTAAACAAGTTTAAAGCAAGGTATATCATTAGCATCTCCATTTTCCTAACTTTACAGATGAGGAAACCAAGGCCCTGAGCCATTCAGAGCTGAGAAGTGGGTGAATCAGAAGTTAAGCACCCACCCTATGCCCCAGCAGCCCCCCAAACTTGGGTCCCTGTCCACAGCGCCTTCTTCGGATACTTTCACACAGAAATACAAAACCCGAGCCACTGAAGGCTTCTTCTATCCCCCCAAACTCAGCCTGCATCTTCCTGACTTTCTTCACACCCTTCCCCTTTCTCTGAGTGCACCAACCGCTATCCAAGGCCTGTGGTTCCCAGGGCACTTTCTCTGTGGTCTTCCTCCTTCCTCTCCCAGGCCAAATGAAAAGTTTCTTCCTCATCCCACAGGCTGTGCACCCCCTAACTCTATTTATTCACTGAGCTCAGCAAAAGCTAATGCTGTGCTGGCACTTCACACCTGCCAGCCCTGGTGGGAAATTTTAGGCCTGTCTGTCTAGTCTAAGGCCTGTGCTTAATCCAGAAGATGCTGCAGCTGCCAGCAGCACAGTTCACCGGCTCTGGGTGCTGTCCCGCTGTAGTGTGGGCTCCTTCAGGACAGGCAGGGGAGGGTCTCCTTTGGTGGGCCACCCCCCTCTTCACACTCAGCAGCTGCCAAAGCACCCTGGACAGAGCAGGTGCTAGTGATCAGCTTTATCTAGTTACTGCGGGGAGCCAGTTATAAATGATTATTATAACAGAAATGTATTTTTAATGACATTTAAAATAGAAGATAAAAATGACCATTAAAAAAGAATAAGAGAACAGGAACAAAAATGATTTCTAAAGTAAGACTAATTGAGAAAATGATGATGACAATAGATTAGTGGAGAAGAAGGGCTGGAATGAATGATTGCCTCTAAATGTGTGAGGGCTACTATCCCTCATTTCTTTTCAGGGAAGAAACAGATCCAGAGGCTGGGCCCTCATTGCACCATGCAAGTCACCCTGACCTCCTAGACACATTTAAGCTTGCTCCTTTCCCTGGGGGTGGCACACAGTGAACCACAGAGGCAAGGACAGGAGTTATTTTTTCTTTTTTTAAAGATTTTTATTTTTTTGTAAGTACAGAACTGGGGTACAGGCCAGAGGCTCAGGGGTGGCGAGAGGCTTCACCAGAGACAGAGTGGGGAGCAGAACAGGCAGATCGACGAAGTACACTGCTGAGGGGAGCAGCGGGCGGGTCAGGAGAGGTCTGCCACGCCATGTGGTCACCTCCGGGGCAGGAAGGAATTGAACTTATGCGGAAGTGGTTTCAGCTTCTTAGTGCAGTGCTTGAACCCGCTGCCACCAGGGAGGGCCGGATAGGAGTTATTTTTTATTGTCAATTGCAGGGCCTGGTCACATTCTTGCCCCGAGAGTCTGTGAGTCACCTTAAACCTTTATAATGTATTGCCCCTTTTTTGGTTCAAACTGGTTTCCATACTTGGAACCAGAGTGTCTAACTAGTGATTCTCAGCAAGCAGGGGACTGCTCTCCAGGAGGGCTCAGGGGTGGGGGTAGGGGGTGAGTGAGTCTCTACAGGAACTCACTCTGTCCCCTACACCTTTGAAAGGACTACTAGGCATTCCCACAGAAGAAAAACATGCTGAAATACTTCAGCATTTTTGCATAACATGAACATCCACTGAATCTTCTAGACATGCAATATAAAGAGCCTTTTATACTTTGTTTTGATCAGAACTTGTCAAGAAATCATGTCTCACCTGTCACCACAGGGTCTTGGATGTAGCAGCCTCAATGGGGGACCCCTGCAGCTATCACTAACACCGAGCTACACTTAGGTGTGAGCACTGGGGACGCCATTTATTTTCTAGTGCAGTGGCATTGTATGAAGATACACAGAGCTATCTAATAAATTAATTCCTATAGGTAATAAATGGCATTATAGGAGGGGCTCCTGATGTAACTGATTTTCAAAATTACCCATATAGAAAGGTCACACTGACATCTGAATCTCACTTCCGGGTAAAGGAGCACAAATAATGCTTGTTAATAAAAGGGGTGCTGGACTTGTTAGTACTCCTGTTCTATTAATGCAAAGCTTGTGCCTATGGAACTAATTATCAAGTTTAGGTTAGTCTGCCAGCACCTTCAGCTTGTCCTTGGCTACTTACATTTCTCCCCAATCATGATGGTTTTTATAATATGGTAAAAGCAAAATAGAGCCAGCTAGGGGACAAAGGCACTATTTCCACGAAAGCTGAGGTTCTGGGTCCTCCCTGGTGGTGCAACAGGTTAGGACTCAGCGCTGCAAGCTGGCCACAGCCACTTCAGTGCGAGTTTGATCCCCACCCTGGAGGTGATCCATGGCTTAGCAGACCTCTCCTGTCTCGCCTGTTGCTCCCCTTAGCAGTGTACTTTTTAGATCTTCTGTTCTGCCCCCCACTCTGTCTCTGGTGAATCTTCTCCCCGTCCCTGCACCTCTGGCCTGGACCCCAGTTCTGTATGCACAAATAAATAAATAAATCTTTTTTTTTTTTTTTTTTTTTTAAAGAAAGCTGAGCTTCTAAGGCGCTTGGTGGTACAAGATCAGGACACAAGCCTACAGATGCTCCAATTTCTTCCACAAAGGCTATTGTCTAACCAAAGGTTCTTGCCAGTCTTAGACTGAAGAGCCAGGAAACTGGGGGGCATACCAGTTCCTTCTCTCCGACACCCCCCACCAAAAAAACCAACCTGACTCTCAGATAAAGCCAAACTCCAAAACTAACCCTTGAAGGCTACAGAACTGAAGCATCCAGAGAGGGGGAAGAGTGAGAACAGTGGGGTGGGAGCACAATGAACCACGGTGGGAGACTGTGGGCGCGCTGGTGGTGGGTTCCTCTGGCAACACCCCCACTACGGGCAGACCCCACAGTTGCACGACACAGCCAACAATGTAAACAAACATCACCGCATTGCAAAGTTTATACGAAGAATAATAAAGATAAACCTCAGGCTAGCCTAAAAACAAACAAACAAGCAAATAAAGTCAGTTCCCCCATTCACTTGCCAGTGTACCCTGACAGTTAACCATTGGCTGCACAGAGACAGATGGCAAGCATCTTGGCCAAACAAACGCCATGCTCAGTGGGGATCTGTACACGTGCTGCTTCTTGAGATCTCACCATTGAAACCTCACAGGGGTACTGCCTGCTGCATCTAAGAACATGGGACCGGTAACATAAATGATGGCCCACCCATCATGCAGTACGATGCAGCCAGCAGAAATGATATAGGTATATATTTACGGATAGGCAAAGATTATCACAATATATCATTAAGTGGAAATGTAGGTTACAAAATAGGGCGTGTGCTAAGATACTGTGGTGTGTGTGTGTGTGTGTGTGTGTGTGTGCGCACCCAGAAGACTACGAATCTCTTTGGTGGGTTTATGGGTGCTTTAAGGTTTTTTCCCCCTTTTGCTTCTTTGTCTTTATTTCTCTTCATGCATATGGGTCTTTTGAAGTAAGAAAGAAAGATTATTTTTAACTCTAGGAAGTCAGATGTTCAGCTAGCAACCCGTCTGGACGCAGAGTTATTGGAGGTGTCTTTACTTACCCCGAGTCCACAGCACCATTCCCAGGAGCATCTGCTCTGCAAGGGAGAGCAGGCAGGAGAGTGAGTGAACAAAAAATCATACCTGTCTGTGTAAGCTCCCCCATCTCACACAGCGGATGGTTGGGGTACAGAGGCAGGGAGTGTAAAGGGCTTTCAAAAGCGGCTCCGGATCCTTTTGACATGTGACTAATGAAAGCTTCCAGTTTAGGATGATATGGTTTCCTAAAAAGACAATGCACAGAGTTAGTGGTCAGTGTTCCAGAATAGCCGACGATGGTTTTAACTCCAGCAAGTGACATCCCGGGTGGACCACAGCCTTTCTCACCCGCAATATCAGGTCCTGGCTTGATCATTTTTAAAGTTCCAGTGTCATTATTACTCTCCTAGGCAAACCCCCCCCCCCAACTCAACAAGGCTAGCTGGAGCCTCCCACTCTGTGGAGCCCACTGTTTTGGCTGTGTGGGCCTCAGCTTTATCCCCACCACCCCACCATTCCTGACCTGCACATTTCTGTCTCTCTCCAGGCGGTCACTGACCCTAGCTGCAGCCAGGCCTAGCAGGGAGTCCCTGGCTTCTCCCTACACATGCCTTCTGCTGTCTAGCCCTGCAGGGGTGCACTATCGGGGTGTTCACCCCTCTCTTCTGTACTCCTGCAACCACCGCCAGGGTTCTGAATCTCGCAGCGTTTGCCTAGATGGCAAAGGCTCCTCTTTGTTCTTCCTGTGGTTTAATCTTGCCCCTCTATTCCTGTCCCAGCCAGGGCCAGGGGGGTGGATTTAAAGGGTATACCCAGACTAGTCTTTGCTCTTCCACATGGTATGTTTCTTGGGGGAGCTATGCCCAGCTCGCCTTTTTTTTTTTTTTTCCAACCCCAGCTCCCTGAGGTGCAGGGTGTCTATTCCTTTCTATTCCAAGGCTCCGTGCTGGTCAAACACAGTCCACCTCTTTCTGTTCCTGCAAACACCAAAGCCAGCACATGCCAACACTTTCCATATGCTGCCCCCTCCTCTTGGGAAACCTCCCCCAACTTTTACCTGGATAAACTTAACCCTTAACGTGACCTGGGGCAGGGTAGGGAGGGGGGAATCCCTAAAAGTCTCAACTGATTAAGATAATCAAGACCACTACAAAACTCAACAGCTCATTTACACACACAACATCAGGTTTCATGTAGGGTGGTAATGAATAGCTAAAAAAGCAGTTTATTTACGAGGGTTGACATTTGTTCTATTTCTGCCATGAAGTACACATGGTAAATCAAGATATAATTTATTTTTCCAGTCACTAATACACAAATCCTTGAATAATGAGATGACCTATGAATGTATTCACCTTTTCTTTGAATAAATGAATGGCCTGTGGATATATGTCTGCATTTTCAAGCTGAGCAGCAGTGGGCAGATAGAGTAATACCCTACTAAACTAAATCAGCATGAAAAGCAGCAAGATAAATTGTCCGAATGGCAGAACCCCTGCTGTCTGCAAGCCCAATTAACTTTGGCAATGCTTTTAAAATGGCTGCCAAAATGGGTTTATTATCTTTCAAAAACATAAAGCTAAAAAAAAATTCCATCTTTTAGAAAATATGTTTTAAAATTGGAGAATGCTAATCTTGACTAACAGTATAGTTTAATAAATCACCTGGGATTGCTACAGGGAATTATGTCTTCCCATAAAAATAAAGGGTATGTTATTTTTCCTGAGGCTAAAACACATAAATATTTGCAAACGGGGAAATAAAATTTCTAGACTGATAATGAGGCTGCCAATACGAATCTACAGAAACAAAGGCTATTCATCAACAGGCATCAAACGCCCTGCTCAGGGCCAGGTCTGTGATGTCTGAGGAGCTGAGAAAGCTTTGCTGCCTATTTTAGAAAGGAAATTTCTAATGAAAGTGTTTGCTGAGATGTCCCAGATTTTTAGGGCATTTGACTGCCTACCAAATGCATTGATTCATGGAAACTTGTTTCTGCTATGAAATGAAGATTCAGACAAGAAAGACTTCATTTACAGGACAGGTATCAAATGGCTGGATCTATTTAATGGGAAGAGCACCAGGTAAGCTGAGTCCCAGGACTTCCTGGATCTGACCTGCTAGCTGGTCTTATACTCCCTCCCAGAGCTGAAAGGGGTCCTTGTACATAAAGGAAACCCCAAATCATACACAGATGAATTCAACTAGGAAATGCACCCTGATGAAAAGTCAAGACTTTCATAGTCTGAAGCAATGACTGTGGCAAGTTCCAGAGAGCTGATTAAAATATTCAAATTTTAATGCAAATATTAAAAATAAAGACTGCTGGAGACACTAATGTGACAGATTCCCTTTGACCAAATTCCAGTTAGGCTCCCGAGAACCTCATCCCAAATAGTCCTCGACCTTTGGACCTCATGTCCTTTGGACTAGTAGATGAAGCTCTGCATTGCTCAGTTTTAGTAAAAACCCTACACCTTAGCAGGATCCCTCTCTCTCCATATCTGAGCACCCCCAATAGCTGATGAAACTGCTTGCCTCCCGGGCCTGCCTTCAGCAAGAATCTTGTCAATTTCTTGTTGTTTGAAAATACTGTTTTGAAGAAGTTCAAGGATTGTTTTTACTACAGTGTAGTAAAATTATGATAAACCTAGTTTATCATAATTGATGCAAACCCTTGAAACAAGATTTCTTTGGTTCTTTTGGAAATAGTGGCAGTATTTACTGAATTATAATTTTGAGGAAGTCCTGCTTGTGCATCTTAGAAAATGGGTTTGTGCTGTCTTAATAAAATTAACATTTGCAATTTAAAAGATAAAAGAATCTTGTCAATTTCATTTATGTAGATGCTCCCCATATCCTGGATGGTCCTCTTAGTAATTTTCACCCACTTTGCTCTTTGGTTATACTGCCCAGTAACCACACTGCATTCAAACCTGAACCTGGCTCTATGGAGATCTCTTTCCCCTATTCTATTAGTTCCTGAATAAATTCTGTTTTCATTAGAGTCTGACTTTGGTTTTTCCTTACCAGCAGTACACTAAAATCTCTCCTCTCCATGGTCAGGATCCATTTCTGAGATTCCCCCTTGTTAGGTCAAATGACACGTGAAGCATCACCAGTGGAATGGAAGGACATTTGTCCCTTTTGTCCCTAACCGTGTCCCCATTTACATCTCCTTCCTACCCTCTGACCACGATTCAGGCTAGCAGAACCCAAGTTCAATTATCTGGACAGCCCCGAGGCATCTGCAGATCTGGAAGGAATGGGGATCAAGGGAATCCTCAATGACCAGGTGAACTTGGACCTTTCTTTTCAGTCTTACACACAGGATGATCAGCTTCTTTGCTCTTTAGACAATTCATTGTTGGCTCTCCTTATGCAACAGCCTTGCCTTACAAATGATTATATCTGTGATAATGAATTTTTCTTCAAGAAAAATTGGAAATTGTTTTCACCTCATTGGAAACCTGCTTTCATGTCGAAAACTGACAGATTCAAAAGTGCTATTTTAAACCTTCCAAACTTTTACTTCAGAGATCGCTTTACATTTTTATAGGCATTGATAACACCTATTTTTCCATAAAGCTTAAGACTGAACTCTGTATACTCATGAGGACATTTTACTGTGCTTTAGCTATAAGCTGGGCAATGACTGGGTGCTATGGAGAATATTAAGAATGATAAGGCCAGGGACACTGTTAGCAGATAGCACAATCCAAAAGAAGTTTCTAATTTATGCTAATTTAAAAAATTATTACCTTGTATTATTAAAAAATAAAATACTTCAAAGATAAAGCATTATGAATTTTTCACAGAGATTCACTGTGCTTCACCTGATGTGGCTCACTGCCCCTCCCCGCTGTCTGAAACTCTCTCCTTCCTTAGCTCTCAAAACATCTCTCCTGCCTTCTTCCCTGTTTGCAACTTCAGTATCTCCGGGGCTCCTCCTTTCCTTCCATGTCTCTCACAGGTGTGTGTTTGGCACGATGCTGATTTTGGTCCTTCCTTCAGGCTTTGCCATCCCCACACCTGTTGTTATCCTATTGTTGTGTGAGTCGGAAGAGCAGGGAGGGCGGTGCCTAAAGACAAACTATGCCCAGGACCCCAGGAAACACTGGCCACAGCCTGAGGGAGAGCTCAGAAACTTCCAGAAGGGAGAAGACAGTTCCCCATCACAGCCTATAGGCAGACCCATAAAGTCTCAGGAGTGCAGAAAGCTGCAAGGGGGAAAGGCACCCCCCCCACACACACACACAACCTGCTGCTGGGACCTACACAATTCTACCAAGGAGCACAATAGAAGGGAGGGTGACTTTGACTTTCTGGACCTATAAACCAATACCCAGGGAGTCAGTGTGCAGTAAACCCCAGCAAGGGATGGAGTAAGCAGCCTTCTGCACATCATCTAAGCTAGGAGTTCCCACCTTTCCTCCTAGTTGTTCCCTGGACTCTGCCTGCCCACGATCTCTTTCCAGGTATCCTTTCATTCTTTCTCTAAGAAACTTTGTTTTGCTTCATTAGATGCGGCTTTGAATTCTTTCCTGGCCATAGCTGAGGACCAAGGAACCCCAAAACCTAGAAACATGTAAAACCCAATAGTCAAACACTCAAACCTCTGATTCCCAGCAAAACAATGCTCTGAGTCCCACAAATAAAATGGCCTGTACTTCTTGTCACTTGAGTGTTTCATGATAACTCAAACTTAGCCCTGAGACCAATTTTCTTCTACTCCCCTCTTCTTCTGGACTCTCTATTCTGAGGTCTATCACTACCATCAGATACCTTGTCAGAAACCAGGCTACTATTTTCTTTCTCTCACCCCTATCCCACCTGTTACCAGGTGCTCATATCAACTCTACCTTACCACTTTCTCTCAGCACCAACCCCCTTTCTCCATCTGTCACTACTCCCTGAGTTCCAGCCTCCAACATTTATTCATTCAACATGTATTTACTGTTACCCCCACATGCCAGGCACTGTTCTAGGCACTTGGAATTCCAAATGGATTCAAAGTGAACAAAAAACAATCACTGCCCTCAGGGCACATCCATTACACCCTAGCCTGGGCACAACTGCAGGCAAGGGTGGACACCAAAGGCTAGAAATCAACCACGGGCCCAGGCCCAGAGGGTGAAACACCCGCACTCTTGCTATTAGGATGGTCTGAGACCACTGGACAGTTTTTATGACCCTCAGCCTAGTGGTTGTTCAAGGTAGTGACTACCAGCTTGAGCCTTCACCC